TCACTTCCCTCTTTTAACCAGGGGATTGCACCACACATGTGACTCAACAAAGCCTGGTGCTCCCCCTTTAGCTCAAGCGCGAGTGCCCGGGGACCTCCTCCTCCTCTAAATAGAACTATGTTCCCTGGGTGCTTCCAACCAGCCTTGGGCCACCTCACCTTACAGGTGGTAATACCCAAGCAAAGACTGGGTGCTCAAAGCACCCACAAAGAAAAGACAAGCTGGCGGTTTTGACTGCACTGTGCCACTAGCCAGTGTTTTAAAGGAGCAACTCACAGAGGGAGGGAGAGGGATATCTCACTGAGAGCTGGGCCTTTGCTCGGCAGACAAATTTCTACGGTACCACCATGAAGATTATTCCAGAGGGTAGCCATTTTGGTCTTCTGTAGGAGCTAGATTCGAGCCCAGGAGAGACCAGCAACGTTTTCAGGGTATGAACTTCCAAATTCAAAGCTCCATCCCCTATCTAGGGAGCGCTAACTCTCAACATATACCCCCCTAAATCTCATTGGCCTCTGAGTTGCTACTGGCCTGGTCAAGTGGTTAGGAGCAGTGTTCCCTCTAAGCTGAGTTAGTGTGAGCTAGCTCACAGTTTTTTAGCCTCCGGCTCACACATTTATGTCTTAGCTCAGGAAGGGATGGCTCCAGAGCAAACTAATTTATGCAGTAGCCAAATCGCTGGCTCACAACTTGAATGCCCGTAGCTCACAAAGTAGAATCTTTGCTCAAAAGACTCCACAGCTTAGAGGGAGCATTGCTGCAGGCCAACATGGCTACCCAAAACTAAGAAGAGCTTTTACTTTGGCAAGACCGAACGTTCTTCCCTCGGCAGTTTTGGAGGGCAGGTATCATAGAGTGTCATACTGTAACAGAACATGCAGATGGCTCATGTGATGCAATAGAAACCATCAGACATATGATTACGGAGTGCCCTATATGCAAGGTGATGAGGGCTAATTTAGTCACCCCTTTACTTAAAGGTACGGAATTACTAAATGCGCGAGCCCAGGTGTCGTGGCTGCTATCAGATACAAATGATCATGTCACCCTCAGTGGCAAAATTCATAGGCACAATAATCAAATACAAGAGAAATAATACCGAGTAAGGTCTTTTTAAATACTTTTTTTGGGGGGGGTTCTAATTTCCGCTTAAGGTGATAGCCGTATGAGCAGTACTAGATAGACAGACAGACTGACCGACATGGCTATCCTTGAAAGCACATACCACGGAAATCCGGTTGGTTTCTAAGGTGCTACTGGACTCGAATCCAGCTCCCTTCATTAGATATGAGCGTTGACTCTCAAACGCTCATACCCCGAAAATCTGGTCGGTCTCTAAGATGCCCCTGGACTTGAATCTAGCGCTTTCTCTCTCTCTTTCTCTCCAGAGGGCATGTTTGGATTTGCATTTTAAGTCCAAAGCTACCATGCTGCGTAAACATTTTGGAAGGTTTTTAATGCCAAGGCTGGTATGCAAATGAGCAGGTGCAGCCAGATAATGTATTATGGGAATACCACTGGAGTAATTGCCATTTTAGAAATGTTTTGACTCGTGTCCTCAGAATGCCGTCGCGGGAGTCGCGGGCCGTGCTTAATATTACAAGCTTTGGGGAGGAAGCTTTGCTGTAATTCTGCAGAGACAGGATGTGCTGTACTTGTCCATTGGAGAGGGAAAGGCATAAGAACATAAGAGAAGCTACGGTTGGTCTCGAAGTTACTCCTGGACTTGAACCCAGCTGTTCTACTACAGAGCAACATAGCTACCGTCGGAAACAATCTAAACAAGTAAGAGAGAGAGATGCCACAAATGACTCCAGGGGCTTACTTTGGGGGATGTGCTAGGTTAACGGCTACTTTCGCTCAAATTCCTCCCCCACCGAAACAAACACTTTTGCGCTTCACGCAAAGTAAATTTTGCAATGACTTGTAGGAGACAGAGCAGAGCAAGCCTCCATGGGAGCTAGTATCGCAGGCTGGTCTCGACAGGCACCAGATTACCAACGCATTGCTAAATCCAAGATTCGTTGGGATTAGCTACGTAACACCCCCCCCCTTGAGCATCCTTGAGCATGCTCTCCAAGCGCCGCCACCCCTCCACCAAACGGGATGTCGCTTGCACACCACCGGGGACTC